CTGCATCTCTCAAATGACCAGTGATGTTGAACATTTTTTCATATGTTTATTTGCTGCTTTTACTTCTTTGTCTGAAAAATGTCTGTTCATTTCAGATGCCCATTTTTGAATTGAATAACCCAGATTCTTGAATAATTTACTTTAAATAATGAACTTTGAAACAAAATAGTGAGCTGAGTTGGTGACACATACTTGTAATCCTAGCTGCTCAGGAAAATTGAGACAGGAAGATAGCAAGTTCGAGGTCAGCCTGGACAATTTGTCAAGACCCCACTTCAAAATGAAAATGTGCTAGGGCTATAGCTTTGTGGTGAAGTACTTTCTTAGCATGTGTGAGGCCGTGGGTTCAATCCCCAGTACTAGGGGAACAAAGTAGAGGAGGCTATTTAGGTAAGTGTATAATCATCTGGGGTCTTGAACTAAAAATGCACTGTAATGGGCTGGGGATTTAGCTCAGTGGTTCCGGCGCCTGCCTTGCCAAGTGCAAGGTCCTGAGTTTGATCCCCGGTACCAAAAGAAAAAAAAATGCACTGTACTATTGTTATGGCCCAGCTGAACCCTGATCATGCATTCATTAAGGAAGGGTTTTCCTTGACTGGTTTTGTTGTATAATGATCTTTGAGAAATGCTACATGATCACAAGATAATGCCGGCTTTTGTTTTTTAAATGCTTTTATTGGGATTTGGGGACAAATCAAATTGATAAATTTAGTGGTGTCTTTTGCTTATTACAGTTGCTTTGCAAATAGACAGATGTATGTGTTAAGACCCATTTCAACATTTTCGCTAAAATTTTCTTTTTTTTCAAGTCTGGGCACTTGAAATTGAGGTTTTGGTTTTTGTTTTTGGTACCGGAGATCGAACTTGGGTCTTTTTGATGGCAGGGGAGGCAGCAGAACCACTGAGCTAAATCCCCGGCCCTGAAATTGAGTTTTTTATTGGAAGTCATTGAGTATAGTTGAGAAAATAATCTATTTGTACATTATTAGATTTTACATGCCTTGCTAAATTTCACATTTCTTTGATAACTCTAGCAAAGGTTATTTCATAATTTTTAGAGGAAATGATAAATTATTTTCCTAGAAAAGGTAATATTCTAGTTGGAATGTTGAAATTTGTCTTCAGTAGTTTCCTAAATTTCAGTGTCATTTTAATACCTATAAACGTTGTTTATGTGCTTGAACATTACCCTTCTTTAGGTATGCAATGTCTTTATTTTGAAATGCACAGAGTCCATGCTAATCTTTGTATCATTCCAATTTTAGTATATTTGCCGCCAATGTAAGCACTTTATTTTGAATGCTGCATGAGTTTTAAAGTACTTCAAAACCAAAAACTTTTGCTTTGTAAAATTTTGGACTAGCCTTTCAGTTATTCAAACTTTATGAGTTTTGTTCAGTTTGACAGCTCAGTTGTCATAAGCTGGGAGTCTTAATGAGCTTCTTTCCGGTCAGTCCATCGTACATTAGAGATAACCGCTATTCCACTTTGATTATCCTAGATTTGTTTTTGAACTTCATACAAGGGTATTATTACATTGCTTCTTTCACACAACATCATGTTTGATGCATGCATCTGTATTGCATATATCAACAGTTGGTTCTAAATTTTTTACCAGTATACCATTGAACAAATTTGCCACATCTTTATGGCCTAGTCTTTTGTTGATGTACTCCTACAGTGGTTTCCAGTTTGGGGTTATTATGAATAAAGCTGCTATGAACACTAACATAAGCTATTTGTGGGTTTGTTTCTCTTAGTGAAAATATCTAGAAGCAGAATTGCTGACTTAGTAGGAGTAGGTGTATGTTTCTTGGAAAGTGCTGAACAGTTTTCCCAAATATCTGTCCAATTTTATAATTCCATGATCAATGTGCAATATTTCTCTTGTTCTATATTCTTGGGGGGTGGGCTGGATCGTTTGGGGTGTTTTTTTTTCCCAGTAGTGGGAATTGAACTAAGGACCTTGCGCTTGCCTGGCAGGCGCAGTGCCACTAAGCTACAACCCCGGCCCTGTTTTTAGAGTTTTGAGACAGGGTTTCATTTTGTAATTCAGGCTGGCCTTGAACTCACTATGTAGTCGAGGCTGGCCTTGAACTCATGATCCTCCTGGCTCAGCCTCCTAACTGCTGGGATTACAGGCGTGTGCCACCACACTTGACCTTGTTCTATATTCTTGCCAACATCTGTCAGTCCTGTTAATATTAACTTTTCTGGTGAACATATAGAGAGGCTTGCTGTGGTTTCAATTTTCATTCTCCTGATGGCTTCCAGTGTTACATACCTTTTCACATAGATATAGTATATGTGTCTATATGTGCATATGTATGTGTATACACATGCACATGTTGGTATACGTATGAATATATTTGCTATTCAGTTACGCTTCTTCTGCAGTACCTGTGCTTCGGTGCGTCATGCCTTCTTCATTGCCGTTTGTTTCGTTGCCTTTTGATGTTAACGCTCATTGATCTGTGTATAAGCTGTGATGTACAGATGAGTTTAAGGAAGGACAGCTACTGAAAAGCCAGGTAATACTGAGAACCCTGAATTGAGTGCCCTTTTTTCTTTTGGTGGCACTGGGCCCACTTGGGTTGAACCCAGGCCCTTCACACTGAGCTACATACCAGTCTCAATCTTTTGATTTTGCATTTTTGGGACAGGGTCTCACTAAGTTGCTAAATGGCCCAGTATGGGCTCAAACTTGTGATTCTCCAGCCTCAGCCTCTCAGAGTGGTCGGAGTACAGATGTGCCCCACCACATCGACCTGGATCTGTGCTTCTTGCAAAATATCAGCTGAAAGATGGAATTTCTTTATGAAACATTATAAGTTAATTCTTCAATGAATTCAGGTTATTTTCTAGTATGTGAAGTCATTTGTTCATCCATTCAGGTTGTGTTACAGCAAAAAGTAGGGTGTATTTGTGCGTATATTGTCAGTTGCCTCACAGGTTTGATGCTTTCATGGGTGGTTTGTCAAGTTTCTTTGGAAAATGGTGGTCTTTCAATTTTTGACCTTACTGTTTTGCTCAATCAATATTTCTTCACAATGTTTGAAGTATATTCTTTGTTTCACAAATTGCACCATTTATATTGGTGCAAATAACCAGTGCAAAGTAGACTTACTCATTTTGACGATTATGAATTGCCAACGAATAGCATTTGGTTTAGTTATTGCTTTAGCAGCTAGTGTTGTAGTCCGTGCTCTTGTCTTGAAGGCAGCGGGTCATACTCAGTTGTAAACATTGTTTTGTCTAATGTCTCTGGTGGTCATGTTTGATAACCTGATAACTGCCACCCCTCCAAACCCACAAACTTATTTCTTAAAGGGAATCTCTGCTGTTGAGTCAGGAGCATGCTAATGAAAACTGCCATTCTTTGTAGCTGGAAACCACAGGCATCTGCTTGAGAGTAAATCACTGCCTTTTGGTTGAGTCATAGCAGGGTGTTTTTCAACATGTGCCATTATTAAAATCCTTTTTTTTTTTTTTTTGGTACCAGGGATTGAACTCAGGTCCTTGCGCTTGCGCAGCAGGCGGCAAAACCACTGAGCTAAATCCCTGGCCCCAAAATCCTATTTCTTGTATTTTAAAAATTCATGTGTTTTAATTTGAACAGCTGAGGCTCCATGCTATTGGATTATGTTATCTACATTTATACCTGCCTTCCTTAGAATTTATTCCTATTATTTATAGATAAGTTATATATAACATATAATATATAATACATGAATGGTAGCAGATTTATGTACTCAGTGGTAAAGGGTATCTACTTTTCACTCAAAGGCTGGGAGAATAATAGGTGTATTGTTTACATAGGTAGCTGTTCTCTTAAGAAGTGGGCTTCTTTAATGTTTTATTTGTAGGTTATCATTTACATTTCTGACTTATGAAAAATGTTTCTACTTATGCAGTTTGGTTAGAGGACCCTCTCACTTTTAGCCATTTATATGCTTTGGAATGATAAAGTGAAACATTAATAAAAGAAAAAAATAAAATGAAACATTAACATGTACAGTTTTTACATGACCCTTTTAAAATTTTATTTTTGTGTTGTGTGTGTGTTACTAGGGATTAAACTGGATCCTCGCACTGAGCTGCATCCCCAGTCCTTTTGTATTTTGAGACAGAGCTTTGTTAAGTTGCTCGTGCTAGGCTTGAACTTGTGATCCTTCTGCTTGGCCTTCCTTGTGCTGGGATTATAGCCTTGCACCATTGTGCTGCATCCAGTTTTTGATTCTGAAATTAGACAGACCAGTTTTGGCCAAAATGCAGTCACATAGTCTTGTTACAGTGAGGCTTGGGAGGATGGTGGTGGAGGATAGTGAATTTGAGGCCAGTCTGGGCTACATAGGGAGTTTGCGGCCAAACTCTACCACGTAGCGAGACCATCTCAATATAAACCACAACAAATGATGACGATGGTTTCAGGAACAACTATTCTTTTAATACAATTATTGGTTCTTTTTCGTATTTGGCAGGGTCACTTTGTAGAGCTGTTCTTCAGGAACAGATAATATTAAGCCTGTCTGACTTTGTGTATGAATTTTCCAGGACATCACAGATTTTAAAATCAAAATTGTAAGCTGAGTACACTGGTGCAGAACTGGGAAGGCTGAGGCAGGAGGATTTACTTGAGCTCCAAAGTTTGGAGCCAGCCTGGACAATGCAGCAAGACCCTAGTCCTAAAATTAAAAAATTAAAATCAAACCATGGGGCCGGGAGTATGTAGCTCTGCATCGCAGCATCTGCCTGGCAGACACAAGTCCCTCAGTTCAACTCCTGGTAGCCAAAAAAAAAATCATTATCATGAGCATCACTGAATTCACTCCCTGTGATTGCTTTGTTAGGGTTTATTGCAATGAGTATACAGTAAAACTCACTGCTTTTCTTTAAGACTCTTTAAAACAGAAAACTCTTAATACTTTTTTTAAAATATTGAATACAATAATTAAGCTACACGTTGACGAGCAGAATTTAGGTAACTTCTTCTAAGATTAACTTTCTGGGTTTCAGTATAAACTCTCTCAGGGTACAGGTTCACATGTCTGAAAAGTTGAGATGCCCTAAAAAGTTTTTAGTAGGGTATCATTGTGTCCTTAGGAAAATTAATCCTGGGCCATGGATTTAGCTCAGTGGTTGTGGCACCTGCCTCGAAAGCGCAAGGTCCCAAGTTCGATCCCCGGTACCAAAAGAAAAGAAAATTAATCCTGTTCAGTTTGGTTTAGGATTCCATTTATTTTTATCATCAGCCTTAACTTTACCATAGGAACATTATGTGGAAGTATTAAATTTATAAAACCAGCTTAAGAATGAAGATGAGGGCCGGGGATTTAGCTCAGTGGTTTCTCTGCCTGCCTCGCAAGTGCAAGGACCTGAGTTTGATCCCCGGTACCAAAAAAAAAAAAAAGAATGAAGATGAAGTTAGGAGCAGATTCTCAAAAAACAGCTTATGCAGTAGAATGTCACTTGCTGGTAGGAATATATACAAGTTAATTTTTAATTGATTTATAGCATGCTTTAAGAAGTTTTTTTTTTTTTTTGGTACCAGGGATCAAACTCGGGTCCTTGCAATTGCGCAGCAGGTGGCGAAACCACTGAGCTAAATCCCCGGGCTTTAAGAAGTATTTTAAAAAGTTGTATACCAGATCTATAGATCTTCATAAAGTACACGCAAAATTGTGCATACCTATGTTTTACATGCATATTTTACACAAATTTTGCGGCTGTAGGGGGAGTATTTAATTAGTAAAAGTGAATTTGAGATCTAAATAGGTTTTGGATACAATACTGGTCTTAGGTAGTGATTCCAGTATTTTGTGTTCATGTACCTCTCACATTCAGAAAAATTTTAACACAAATCTGTATATTTGTGTTTAACCCTACATTGTGGTTGTGAACTACTGTATTAATATTTCAGGTATGTTATAAAAGCAAAATTTTATAAGGATAACATAATAAACATAAGCCTGCCCCCCAGTGAAAAATCTTGGGTGTGTGCTCTTTGGAGAACTTTGGTCCATGGTATACTAAGGTAGGAGAGCCTTTTTCTGATCAAATACAATAGAAATATGTGTATGTCCTGCATTGGTACAAGTAGAATAAGATTTTGTAGATACAGTAGGAATTGAGATCTTTTCTATGGTTTTCTAGGGTGAGCTTTTAAACTATGTTGTGTTAAGAGACCATTTCTCTTACAAGAGGGTATATGGGAATAAATAAGGACAGATTTAGCAAAAAAGACAAATATTTTTAAATTAGCAGATTTGAAAATTATTTTGTATTTAGTACTTAATAGTGTTTAATACCAAAATATAAAATTAACCTAAATTTAAATTTGTCAGTGTTCTTTGAGGAAATGGGGGATATATTTTGAATTGCAGGGAAATCCTTATTGAATAAAAATCCTTTCACAATGGAAATAATTAAACCATACAGCACAATATGTTATTTTACCAGAACTTTGGTTACTGTTAAGAACTTTTAAGAGATCAACTAAACCTTCCAGAATCATCCTTTAGAAGACTAAATCTGATTTTGTTGTATTCCTAGGGTGATAAAAGAAAACATGGGTAAGGCTGCTGAAAGTTCAGCTTCTAGTAGAATTCTGAAGACCTCACAGACCAGGAATGCTGCAGACATGCTCCCTTTCAGGTCAGTCATCATTGCTGTGTATTTTATAACAGCTCCTGGAATATTTATTTTCCTCTCAATTTTTCTTTCTGATTCTGTTGACCACAATTAATGCAATGGTTCGGTTTGGGTTGTTTCTCCTGTGCCAGGACTGAATCCAGGGCCACACACATCCTAGGCAAGAAAGCACTCTACTGCTGAGCTGCAACCCTAGCCCAGCATCCTGGGATCTTGTCTGTGCAGTGTTTGAAATAGTGTAGAGCTGGAAACTTCAGAGGACCACCTGTCTCCTGGAAAACTCCAGTGCCACTGCCCTTCTGTCTGAGCAAGCGTAAGAGAGGACTGTAGTTCCAGGTTGCCCTTTGCTTCCTTCATGGTAGTGTTTGTGGATTTACCTTCAAGTAAAATTGGAGTACGTGGAGAAATGACATTAAGAGGTCTTATACAATAAGTTATAAGCCTGTCTATTGATTTTTGAGATTTCAAATGTAAACTTCAGTCACGTCCTTCTGGAAAGTGTAATCTTAAAAATGGTAGATCATAAAATTAGATCCATGCTAGGGATACTGACTGTTTCTCCTCTGCTTTCACTTGGAAAGGGTCACAATTTTTCTATTCTTCTGTTATGCCAAAAATATATAAATTTCTAAACATTTTACATTATTATGACAAAAATTCTGAGACATAAATTGTCACCCTAATAGATCCAGGAACTTTGGGTTCTTTTTTGAGAGGGACATGCTATGCAGTTCAGGCTGCCCTCAAACTTAAGAGAAATCCTCTTGCCTCAGCCTCCTGAGTGCTGGGATTATAGGCATGTGCTGCCACGCCTGGTGTAGATCTAGGAATATTGTTTTAAATACAATTCTTTGATAGTCGGTGATGACAGACCCCCTTCTGACCTGATCTTGCTGCTACAAGTTTGGTGCTAGGGACCAGGAAGTGACTGTATTGCCTTGAGAACTATCCATTTAATGACACCCCAGAACACTGATGGGTTTTGTACCTTTGAGAAACTTACTGACATTTGTTTTTCATACTGTTACCTAGCTTTTAAAAAGTTCATCTTAGGCTTTGCTTCTCAGACCCACTCCTAGACCACCATCCTTTCTGGGAACTGGTAGGAATGCCTATTCTCAGGACCCATGCCTGGCTTAGTATGGTTGGAATCAGGGCTTTGGGCGTGCGACATGGCACTGTTCTTTTTTACCTTAGAGCCCTTCAGGCGTTAGAACCCTCTAACCCTCTAACCCTCTAACTCTCTAACCCTCTAACTCTCTACTAGAGAACCACTGATCTAGGGAATTACTAGGCAAATATTCAAAGTCCCTGGCTGTCCTTCAAGGGTTTCACTTGGACTGTTCTAACAGAACCCCTCAGATGGTCCCTTCTCATCAGGCCTGAAAATGTGTGTTTCTAAGTGAGTCCCATATGATGCAGCCTTTTGCTGTGACCACATTTTTCAGATTCACTGCTCTTATGTCTTTTGTGTGTGTGTGTTGTTATTCACTCTTTTTATAGAACTAACATAGGCAACTTGTTAGGTACTCAGATGAGGTGTATACCAGCTCAAAGTAAAATACCAAAGGTAGCCAGGTGTGATAGCATACTCTTGTACCCCAGCACTCCTGGAGGCTGAAGTAGAAGGATCACAAATTCAACAACCTCAACAACTTAGTGAGACCAAATCTCACAATGAGAAGGGCCAGGCATAGCTCAAAGCACAAGTGCCAGTCCCAGTTCAATCCCCAGTACCACAAAAGAAAAAACCAAAAACAATTGGTAGAAGCCACTGGATTAGAGAACATTTTTATAGGTGAAATGGAATCATTCAGATCTTGAATATTGTTTAGATCTGCTCAGTGATTGTAGGCTAACACATTATTTTCTTTAGGACTGAAATCTTTTTGTTAAAAAAGTATACTGTGGATATTAATTTCTGTTTACTAATAGACAATTTCTTTTTTCAGGTTAAATGGCTGTGTGGAAAATGTTCTCAGTAACCCAGGACAAACAAGCCAGTAAACAAATAGGAGTTAGTCCATGTAAGCAATTTATGGAAAAATGAGTAACACTGTTTTTCAATATCCCCCAGGGGCACAGTTTGTGCAGTTAAAATGGTATTTATTTATTTACTTATTTATTTAAAATAGTATTTAAAGCATGAACTTAAGTATCACTTTGCAGCTGGGCATGGTGATAGGCATCTATATCCCAGCTACGCAAGAGGCTGAGTGAGGCAGGAGGATTGAGAGCAATGTAGTGAAATCTTGTCTTAAATAAAAAGGAGTATGTAACTCAATGGTAGAGGGTTTGATCCTCTGCACAAGAAAGGCAGGAATGGAAGATGAAAGGAGGAAACCTGGTAGTCTTGGGGCGGGGGGGAACCTCATTTTTAATAAAGCATAGGATCCAACTTAGGGTAAGCAAATAAAGAGGGTTATGAACAAAGACAGGTAATGTGTTGTAGTGGTATGTAGAGCTTATCTTCTCCCAAGATGAACTGATGTCCAGCATTCGGCTTAGATTGTTGGTGGTCCCTGCGTGTTCATGAGAATGGACACAATCAACAGGAGACCTTGGTTTTTTGTGTGGTCCTGAGCTGACAGTATAAGCCCTCATTGGCATTATTAGTTCTGCAGTTGACTAGTAAGGCTCCGCTGTACCTAATGGGCAAGTTGGGTTTAGAAGGCCCAGCTCTGGGCTATAAGGAGTATCACCTGTAAGTCAGGCCACATGGGTTTCAGCTGTTCCTTTCACACAGCATCATGCCATGGAACTTAAACATTAAAACATTCAGTCTCTATCCTGTTGTTTCAAGAGTCAGTGTTTTGACATCCTATTGGATATGTCCTGTTCTTCCTCCTTGAGCGTTTTTATTTCTGCAGTTTATACCTGGGTAGCTGGCTCCTTAAGTGCTTTTGGGCCTTCTGAGTATTCTGGATGCTAACCCTGTGAGCACTGGCATAGCACACCCTGGTACAAGTGCATGTATCCTGTGGTATAAAGCGGAACTCACTCCATATTCAGTCTGTTGTGCTGAATCAAATTCGAATAGTTTTAAGAATCAAGATGAGACTCAGAGAATAGTGCGTGAATGGAGTAAGATGGACTGAACTCCCCTCCATAATCATTATTCAACATTTATCCAGTCTTTCTCCTTGGCACCTGGTATTGTAGACAGAAGAATGTATTATGTATTTGGTATTTAACCCACTAGGCCAAAGCAGGTGTCACTAGTAACTAAATTAAACTAAACACCCAGTTATCTTTTCCTTCCCTTCTACTGGAAAGGAATGCCAGAGAGATGATGCTTTAAGTTAGGATAAGTGAATTAAAAAGATTTGTCATAACTGCTTTTTGGTGATCTGCTTTAGTCATGAGACCACCCAGTTCACACAAGTGAATAAGCCTATCTGTAAGCCTTTTGCTAAGATGCTGCTTAAGAATTGTGTTTGCAAGAGGACTCACTGCTTGTTCCTTCCCTTTCTGAAAACCGTATTTTATTTAGGTGGCTAAGCACCAGCATTAGCCAAGACGATTATTGCCTAATTGGAACCAGCTCCTCACCATGAAACAGCTGTTGGGGGGTAGTCTGGTTGATTCAAGTCTTCTACATCCGTAAACCACTACTTTTAGTGTTTACTTATTTCCGCACAAACACAAGTGGCTGTCAAAGAGGTAAGCTGAGTACCTCCTCTTCATTATATTCCTAGATGTGTGGCTGTATTTACAAGTATCAGTGGCATACCTGGGACAAGCTCAGACAGCTGAGTTAGTGTCACCATGAGGGTTACCATGAAGGTGGCTCACGTTCTAGTCACATAACTTGCCAGCTTTCCCAACTATCAACAGCCTTACCTGTTAAAAGATGTCATCTACCTTTTTCAGCCTAAAGTCCTAAAAGAACTGTGTGCTGAGCTCCTGCTTCATGTGTGTCTTAAGACAGCCTTACCTCCTCACTACAGTGAATAAATCTCACCTCTTCATGGTCTCTCCTGTAAGGCTCTTCAGTTTACGCTTAATTTTGAGATAACAGAAACTTTAATCCTCTTTTATACATCCTAAATTTTCCCCTAGAAATCTATGAAGTCAGATAAAGTATTATATTGTGATTCAGTTAGTTGAAAAACTTCACTTGTGCCTAATGTTTAACTAGAAAACTATGCAACTTAGTATCCTTGTTTTGAAATCCTGAAACATAAAATGAAAAGCAGAAAAACTGTTAACATTGTGCTTTCTTGACAAAGCACAATGTTAATCTAAGTAAAGTGGTTCTCTGAACTGACAGTGTATGTGGGTCTCACATGTTAACATTTTATTTCATATAATGAATAATGAGGGCAGGTGTGATGGTGCATGCCTGTCATCTCAGCACCCTGAGAAGCTAAGGTAGGAGGAGCCCAAATTCAAGCCTAACCTGGGCAACAGAACAGGATTCTGTATCAAAATTTTAAAAGGGCTTGGGAAAGTAGCTCATTGAGGGCCCTGGAGTCAATCCCTGGTGTCCCAAAAAAATCGAAATGAAAACTACAAATTTTGACATTTCCATACTCAAGACTTTAACTTATTAGTATCTGTAAGCATTTCTTAAGGGGATATAAGTGTGTAATCTGAGGCATTCACGTCATAAAAGGCACTATGTGCCATCACAAGGTTCAGCCAGGACCCGAGGGAGCTTCCTAGTCATGTTCACATGAGGTGGCTTTTCAGAATTACTCAGTGAACTTTTTTTTTTAAACATTTTTGTTGTTGTTTTTATTTGATTTTTTAAAAAACATTTCTGTTGTTTTTATTTGATTTTTTTTTTTTTTTTTGGTACCAGGGATCGGACTCCAGACCTTGCGCTTGAGAGGCAGGCAGCGGCACCACTGAGCTAAATCCCCAGCCCACTCAGTGAACTTTAACAAAGAAAGAAGGTCCTGCCAGGCCGGGCTTGGTGGTGCACATGCCTGTAATCCCAGCACTGGGGAGACAGAGGCAGGAGGATCACCTCGAGTTTAAGGCCAGCCTGGGCTACATAGTGAGTTCAGGGCCAGCCTGAACTACAAAGGGAGACCCTGTCTCAAAAAACAAAAAAAAGTCTTTTAATATTTTTGCTACATCTTAGGTTTTTATTTTATCACCTTACTTTTCAAAAGGATGAGATGGAACTGCACTTTTACACAAAGGCCTGCACCACCACCACATCACAGCAATCATCTGTCAAGGGCAGCAGAGCCATCCTTTATTCAGAGCTTGGGCAACCTGAGTTAGTATAGTTTGCCTCTCTACTGTAAGTTGGTGCTTTGCACCTACATTTTTTTGTTATTTACACAAATTCACCAAGACTAGTAGAAAATTGAAAGTTATTTAAAAAATTTTTTTTCTTAAATAATCTTCCTATGGTACTATTCCACATTGTGGAAAAAATGAAATATGCAGTCTTGGTACAACACTGAGATTTCAGAAGACTGCCACAATTACTTACATCTCATCTATTTTTTTTTACATATGTTAGGGCCACCACATTGATCTTACAGACCAAAACACATGACAGGCTTAGGAGGTTTACAGATGAAACTACACTGGAACGTTTTAGGTGTGCCAGAATTCCAAACTGCTTCAAAGAGATCATGTAAGTATCTGTCTGAAAGGTCCATCCCAATTCTGTTTGGTCACTGAAGCTGCACTCTGTATGCACCTATCAGCAACTTAACCTAGGGAAGGGAAAAAGTATGTCAGTACAGAACCAGAATTACCCTCTCTCACAAGAAAAAAACATAGCCAGAAGTCTTGTTCAGCATTATTTTCAAGCTGGTTACTGATTTACAAAAGATAGCATTAATAGCTAAGTGTTTATAACTTGATTTTGTTAACTATGTTAAATAATCCTATCCTTAGACTATTTCATTCTAGGCAGTGCCATACTGGAGCCTAGAACAGGCCCTGGACTGCTGAACGTGCATGTTCTTAGGTTCTCCTTCAACCTATTCCTACCATGTTGTTGTGAGCACCCCGCATTGCTACCCAGGGAATGAACCCTCGTCTCTAGTACAGGCACAGTATTATTTCCAGAGAACAAAAAACACTAGGGACATTCCAGAATTTTTGTTCTTATCATGACAAAGTAATCTGCAACAGCAATTTGAGTAATAACAGCATGAAGGACTTCACCTTGGCAGCAGGTGCTTCTGTCAACCTTATGAAGAGCTTATTAGGGCCTGGAACGGGACTGAAAGAGTAAACAAAATGACTATCCTAGAGTGAAAAGAAAAGAAAGTATTAGTACTGTGGGCTTTTTTTTTTTTTAAAGACAAAAGCTCAGACATGTGTAGACAACCTGACCATATAACCTGGCTAAATGGAGACTAGAAACTACTAAGACTTCAGTGTAGCAAAGAAACACATAAAAAGTTTTATTTTTGTTTTTCTGTAAAGTGTGCTGTGGTTCTTAATTTTTCCCTTGATTTATTAAACACACAAATTACAAAAGAGAATATCCAGATGAACATTTGGGATTAGTCAATAGATAGCACAAGTGTTTAAACCGTCTAAAAATCAACCAAAATATTCAGGCTTAATTCTACCAAAGGTTGGAATTCTAAAAGTGATGGAAGAGTTATATACCAATCCTCTTCAAGAGCATTTCTTTATGATGTCAAAATAGAATATATACAGCCACTATCTTATTATGCATTAAAAATTAAAATGAAAATTTCTTCAATTTTAAGTGAACATTTCATAATTAGAATGGTGGAAAAGGCCTGATCAAGTTCAACCCCCGGTACCAAAAAAAAAAGAAAAAAGAAAAGGCCTGATCAGGCGGTGTGTTTTTTGTGCCCTAAGAATTAATATTCAAACTAATGTTGGTTCTAAGACATTATAACATAACTTAAAGCAAATAAATGAATTAAACATTAACAATTTCCATTGTCAACATTTAGGATAATTTTACGAGTACTGTCTCATTCTCAATAATCAGTTCAGTAGATCACTTACTAAATGATCATGTTCTATTTAAATATACTAATGTAAGTCTTTGATTAGAGAAAGTTTTAGCACTGGAATGTAGAAAATCTTACCAGAAAAACAGGAAGTTGAAATTTATCATTTAAAACTACGGCTAGTACACTGCATGGTCCACAGAGCCGAGCAATAACTTCTTTACCAAAAAAATTTGCATGGAAAATAAAGAGCAGGATCCCAGAACCTGAAGAAGGGAGGTGGGAGAGGATTATTAGAGGGAGCTGGTCCCTGAGAAAGACCTCCCCTGCAAGCAGAGGGGTCTGAGAAGGCCGCTGACACCTGCCAGCTTTCAAACCACAGCAATTTTGACCTCTTGCCCAAGTGACCCCTACTGGTAGCTCCTAAGAAAGACTTTGAAATAGGACTTTTTTTTTTACACTGATGTTTTGCTTTGTTTCTTTTAAAGTGGTATTTTTAAAAAATTCTTTTATTGGTACATTTTAGGTATAGAATATGTTTACATTTGTCATTGGGTGCTTGTACCTGTACATGATGTATCTTGGTGCTTATTTTATCCTCATTCCCTGTGCGCAATTCACCCCTCCACCCTTCCCTATTTATATAGACTTCGTTTCCATTTTTTTTCTTTCTCATAAGTTTTCCTTTCCCTTCTGTCCTTTCCCCTTCCCCTCCCACCACCCCTACACCTTTGGACCTTTTCTTCCTATTTCAAATTATCAATTATTCATTTTAATCCTTATTTACACTTTCAGTTTCTCACACTAGAGAAATTATTCGGTATTTACACGTGTCCTGTTTTATTTCACTTAAAGAGTATGGCTTCAATATGCATCCATTTAGCTCTAAATGTCTCTAGTTTCTCATTCTTTGTGGCTGAGTAGTACTCCATTTTATAAAAGAAAGCACATCTTCTTTATCCAGTTTCCAGTTGATGGGCACTTGGGCTGTTTCCAAGCTTTCGCTATTATAAACTGTGCTGCTATAAACATGGGTGTGCATATATCACTGTGGTGTGAGTCTTTTAATTCTTTGGGGAAGATACTCAGCAGGGGAATAGCTGGGTCAAATAGGACCCTAGTTTTTTGATGTGTCTCCATACTGATTGTGGCAGCCTGCACTCCCACTTAAAAGTGGTATTCAAAAGTTACTGATGAAAGTATGCATGTGCAAGGAAGCAAACCCAGATGTTGCAATGGTGGTTTGTCTTTGTGATTTTGAATGGTTTTTCATTTTCTTGCACATACTGGTTTACCTGTTTGAAATTTTCTGATTAATACCAAAACAAATCTTAATTGGAACCAAAAGCATGCAATGTGAAACTTTTACTACATGTCCAGAAGTATTCTTTTTTTTTTTGGTACCGGTGATCAAACTTGGGTCCTTGCACTTGTGCAGCAGGTGGCGAAACCACTGAGCTAAATCCCCGGCCCCAGAAGTTTTCTTCTAAATAAAATATATACTCTTTTTTTTTTGTACTGCAGATTGAACTCAGGACCTTATGCTTGTGAGGCAGGTGCAGTGCCACTGAACTAAATCCCTGGCCCTAGAATATAACTCTTAACAAAACGAATGGGCCGGGGATTTAGCTCAGTGGCACTGCACCTGCCTCACAAGCATAAGGTCCTCCCGAGCGCAAGGTCCCGAGTACAATCCCTGGTACCAAAAAAAAAAAAATCATTCAACTGTTAACAAAACAAAAAATCAGTATGTAAGCTGCATGACTTCTTTTACACTGAGGCAACCATTTTCAATTTTCATCTAGGCCAGTTTTTTTTTTTTTGAGTTCTGAGACAGGGTGTCACTATTAGTTCAGGCTGGCCTCAAATTCACAGCAATCCTCCTGCTTCAGCCTCCCAAGTGCTGAAATTACAGGCGTCCACCACCATACCTGGCTTATCTAGGCCAAATCTCAACAAGAAACTTTGTAAGGGACTTCACAGAAACTCCTGTTCTAGTCCCAGGAAAAACACATTAGCTCTTCACCTCCTCTGAAACTACTGGCAGTGGGAGACTTTGTTCTCTAGCACCACAAAGCCACTGTCTGAGTCTTGTCTCTTCTCAGCTCCACTGTGAAAAGGGAGATTCTGAGAGAGTTGGGGGCTCCAGGGCCCAGACATTGTTGCTGTGGGGCAGTGAGGCAGACAGCCCCACGGCACCCGTGACCCACAGGGAAACTGAGGAAAGCCTCTCATTAGGGCCAGAGTGAGTTCCGCCTTAGGGGTAGGTTGGGTAGTGGTTTCTGTCCTGACACGTACTTGAATTTGACAGTACACTGATTAGGGGGGTTTCCTGTTTCATTGTGCCTAACGGTTGTTTCAGTATACAGCCCCCCGCCAAATTACACATTGATAAATATGACTATAGTTCTTAAAGGAGTCAAAAGCTCCTCAAGAAGCCAGAGGAGGTGCATCTAAAACTTAAATGTGTTTGTAAGCCACAATCTTTTGATGTTCCCCAGAGCTGGGCTCACAAGGAGCTTGTGGCTGGGGCTACCTAGGAGACAGGCTCAAGGAACTGGGGTTGTAAGATGACAAAGCATCTTGACAGAGTAAGATTTCACATAAATAGCAAAAATTTCTGGTAGATGCAGACATGTACATGTGTAGAAATAACCAATCATACCAAATCAAAGCAAGTTCATCAAATTGCCACATATGCGTATAGTTAAGGTGAGTAGTCAGCACTAAAATTATGATTCTTCAATATCATGTTCAGTAAACAATAAATTTTTCACTAATAAATGAAATATATATTTTCAAAGGGGAGTATGGAGATTTCTAACAAAATGGCTAGAGCCCAGCTTCTACTTGAGGAAGAAATGGCACTGCACACTGCATCTGGAGCCTCTAACGGGAGCTGTTCAGCAGAGGTCAGGACCAAGGAGGGGAGTTTTTCATGTCTTTACTATAAACTATTATGGGCATATTTTTTGTTTCTTTTTCAGCTAAAAGGGAAAAGACTATTAGTAATAGGCAGTGGCTTTGGAATACTCAATAACAAACTAGGAAGACCCAGCTCCATATATTTTAAATAGGACTCTGCAGACCCCTCAGTGTGGCTTAGGGTGGTAGGTATTGGTAAGGGTTCTCTTCTGCCACAGCAGCTCTGTTTTTAACTATTTCACATAATTATTACACACAGTATAAGGTTTCATTTAAGTAAAGGGTTCTACCCTAAGAATCAGTTAATATTTACAGTGTATCCTTCAAACTGAGCAGCTTCAGGGTAAAAACAGGCTTACCTTCTGGCATGTTCTGTGGAAGTTTGTAACTGAAATCTGTTGAGAAATCTGGCCCCTCACAGAGTCGATGACATGCTATTGGGAAAACAGGTTCCAGCAGAACAAGGCGAGCTTCAAAGTAATCTCGGATTGTCTCTTCAGCCACTCTCGAAAGCCTGGTAAGAAATGACAGGAAGTTGTTAATGCACTGACATATCACACTGTACCACATACATAATTATGCTCACCAGGTATGAACAGCACCTCTGCCCTCAGCCCACCTCCCTGCTCATTCCCTTGTGCACCCGGCACCTGATGTACTGCACCAGTCTGCCTCATGCCCATCTTCTCTCACTGTAAACTCAAACTGCAAAGGACAAGCTTTTCCCTGCTGCTGTCTCCGTCCTCCCGGCCATTAACATAGTGTCTGCTTGCTCAGACTTGCCTAATGAATGAATAAAAGCATGAGAGCCTCTCAGGTGGGGGCAAACAGGAAGGCTCCCTTCAGCTAATCCATGAGGAGAGAAGATCTGATGCCTCCTGTGATTCCTCACAGCCTGGCCTCAGAAAGGATCAAAGCACAGGCTATCCAGAGGGCAGACTGGGCACAGGCCTTTTGTGGCCTTTTGTCTCTTGTCTAAAATACACCTTACATTCTGCTTAGATTATAGATCCTCTGTCTGGAATTGGAGTAACCATTTTGTAGGCAGGAAGAGCCAGTGAGGATTAAGAGGCAAGAAGAATAGCTTAGCCTCCTGAGACTGCCAAAAAAGTGCCTGCTTGTCTGGAAAAAAAGCACCTTCATCAGCTGCCTAACGGCTTGGAGCATTTCTGGCAAGTGTTGCCCAAATAATTCTTAAGTGATAAAAAGATCCTTGTACTATGAAGTATAAACTTGTAATAAAATAAAACTTAGAATTCACATAAAAAAATAAGCTGGTACAGACAGAATGTTAGTGCTATAAAGGAATGAGCCATCCAGACAGGGACGGAACCAACTACATGGCTGTAGTTAAATGAAAATCAATCTGAAAAGGCCAGATAATGTATGATCCTAAATACTGTAGAAAGGGCAAATTAGCCACCAAAAGACAAGTGCTCACCAGGGCACAGGGGAGACAAGAACAAAGATCTGGAAAATTAAATAGGTCTTTCATTTTTCGGTACCGGGGATCAAACTCGGGTCCTTGTGCTTGCGAGGCAGGCAGTGGAACCACTGAGCTAAAGCCTCGGCTGCTGGAAAACAATTTTTAAAGCAGTGAAAAATACTGTAAGATACAATGGTGAACACCTACCGTTACACCCTGGTCCAACCACATGGAATGTATACCATAAGGCTGAACCCTATGTGAACTGAGGACTCTGTCTGCAGAGTCATTGATACAGATACATCGATTTTAACAAATGTGCCACTCTGGTGAGAAGGGTGACAGCAAACAAGATGGATGAGGGGGCAGAGTATGTGTTTAAAAAAAAAAAAAAATTAGAATAGTTTAAAAGGTTTTAAGGAAATGTCAGACAAATTAACAGCATACATAATTTGGAGAATTTAAGGAGATACCCAGATCTAAGAGTTATGTGTGATGTTTTCTAAGGCTTCAATAACATGCACAAAAATAAAACATGCCCTTTGCTAACTTCATGATCTACAAGAACAGAAACCTGTTAGGAAACATACTAAATCTTTTTCTGAGCAGTTATTTAGAGGCCATTCCAGTGACAATGTGTCCAAATAAACAGGTTTTGTTAGTTAACCATGGTACATTCACTTTGTACTTACGTCTCCAAGTGGCTCTTCAGCAAGTCATATACTAGCACATTGTTACACTGCTTTGCAAAATGCAGTGCGCTATTCTGGTGCTTTGACAAAATGTTACAATCAGCTCCATATTCGATTACAAGCCGAACAATGTCCGAATTTCCTCTTTTACAGGCCTAAGTCAGAGAAAGGCGTGACAATTACTTAACTGTAAATGATAGTAACTACCAGTTGGCATTGGTCCCTCTCTCCATACAAACCTGGGAGTTCTTTGTAAAGAGTGCAAACTGCAATGGAGAAAGGGTGAGAAAACCCACAGCAGCAATCACTGCTGTGACTGCAACATCACAGAGGACTCACTACCTAGGGCACTTCCTGCTGCTCTCCTTCCACCTTTCTCCCCAGGTCCTCAACTCCTTTCCTTCTCCCCTGTTCTTTCCCATGCTTTAGCCTTCTCCACCTCTCAAAAGCTGACCCCATTCCCAACCTGTGGCTACAGTGCAGTCACTCAGACTGATGGCTCTCTGGTCTGAATCTCCAGCCCATACCACTGTCCAGCACCTGCTTGTCGCTGATGCCCATCCTCCCTACTCAAGAAGGGCACCACTTCCTGTTGAACCACCTTCTGGGAATTCTACCTGCTAAAAGGTGGGTAAATTACCCACTTTTCTCTATCACTGGTTATGTACAGACTACTAATTATCTATTTACTTAACAAATCTTTTCCCCAGTCCATTCTGCCTTCTGCTCTAAAGCATGTTAAATGAACTAACCCTTGAATCGACCTATATCTTTCTCCAGCTTTAACCTGCCCATAGCTCTCAAATGTCCTCAAAGTACATTGCTAGCCTGTGCCATCCCTGTGCCATCCCTGTGCCAAGTGCTGGTGCCTCCCTCACTGGCCCATTCTGCCTAAGCTCCGCTGTTCAGATGTACCCTGGGCTTTCCGCTGAGACGATGCTGAGGCACTAGCTCTGCTCTGCACAGACGGCAATAACACACATAAAATCAGACTACAGACTCAAACTTAAGGACTTAAACAAAAATGTACATTTCCATCAACTAAAAATTTTTAAAAAGCAGTGGGTAAGGCCTAGCCTGATTATGGCTGGGGCCTGAGAAGGGGTATGGCGTCCAGGCCCTAAAACCGCAGTATTCAAGGCTAGACTCAGCATGTGGCACATTACAGAGCTGCTAACAGAGGTCAGAACAGCAGGGGTTGCAGGCAAATCCCTGCCTGCTTGCTTCATAGTTTACATAAAGCTGCATACCAGGGAGAGGCAAGAAAGATAAGTCACCTTTGGCTCAGTGTCTGGACCTGCTATGTCCTAGCAGCTTAATGGGCCAGGAACCCAGAACAGCTGCAGAGGGAAAGTAGCGCTGGGCTGGGTCCCATGAGGCAAATATAAACCTGTGAGGCAGGGAGGCAACCAACAGTACTTGGGGCACTAGGAGGCTCCGACCACCTTCCACTGGGAATGTGTCTGCCAGCCAAGTTTGGTGACATATGCCTAACAGTCCCAGCTACTTGGGAGGCTAAGGCAGTACTAAAGTCTGAGCCTGGGCAGCTCTGACTTGGCAAGACCCTGTCTCAAAATTTTTTTAAAAAGTTTAGCTCAATGATGGAGCACAAGCTGGAGATCCTCCTGGTCCCCAGCCCCTCCCCAAAAGCCCCAAAATGAAGTCTAGCGAAGGAAACCTGTGAGAGAACTGGATGTTCAGAGTGCCCAAGTATCTACATAGACAGGGGAAACAAATTCTTGCCTTGGGGTGTGGTAATCTACCGGTCTTGCCGTTGCATAAGTCCTCAATAAATTAACTCGGTGTAATCCTGAATCTGTCTGCCTCATTCTTTGGTATCTTTTTTGGGGGGGTACCGGGATTGAACTCAGGACCTTGTGCTTGCAAGGCAGGCACAGTGCCACTAAGCTACATTCCCCAGCCCCTGGTATCTCTCACTTTTGGTGAATGATTCTGTATACTCGCAACGTAAGTTTTTCCAAAACAACTATATCCTGTTCTGGTTCCTGCTGATGTGCTGCTCTCATTCGGCCCTTATCACATCCACCCGAACATTCATCCCGGGTTCACAAGGACAGTCACAGCACGCACCTCCCCGAATTGGACTGTCTTAGTGTGCTCTTCCCAGTTGCCTGCACAGGTCTGGCAGTAGGGGCGCCAACATGAACACCTGTCCGAGAGGCTGAGCAACTCACCTTCATCAGCGCAGTCTCACCATTGCTCTGCTGGACATTCACAAAAGCTCCCGCTTCCAAGAGAATAGCCACTGTGGTTAAAAAGTTCTATTTAAAAAAAAAAAAATTAATTCCAAAAAGACTTTAAAAGAAGACTTTTTTAAGATGTTCTGAAACCTCAGTCATCATGAAAGACTGGGCAGATCTTATCCCAAGCGGGTGGCTGGCCACCGTCTTCCTGTCCCTTCACTGTGGACCAGGGCAGTCCTGTGACAGACCTGCTCCCTGCCGCAGCACTCACACATAGCTGCTCTGCCCAAAAGGCCACCAGAAGCTCAGCCTTAACCACTGGCTTCTACATGAGAACCTCTCCATACACATCCTTTAGACATTACAATGCACTGGGGCCGGGGATCTGGCTCAGTGGTTTCACTGCCCCCGACACCAAAAGAAAAAAAAAAAAATTATAATACATTATAAATTATGAACCAAAGACAGTTTCAGTCGGAAACCAATACTAGTATTTTAGACATCATCACTACACAACCATTACATTCCACTGCAGGACATCCTGAATTATCTGACACAATGAGTTCTCGAACCTTCTCAGCAGCGTGGATGAGGGCTGTAGTCCCATTCTTTTGCTGCCCGTTCACTTTTGCGCCTTTGGTGATGAGGAGTCGCAGGAGGTCATCCTGCCCTCCCGCTGCAGCAAGCATCACTAGTGTCATCCCACTGGAATCCTTGGTTGGTTTGTTAATGAAAAAGCCTGTTAGTCTTTAATTGGAACAATTTTAGAAGCAAGTCTCTTCAGCCGGGATGTTTCAATGTGAAATCACTACATTGCACTTATTTTGCATCTACCTAGATTTTTCACTGAAATATTCTAATCAACCAGAAACAACCACCTCTAGAATTTTCTCACAAATAAATGTTACCCTAAATCATTACAACTTTCCTGTACTGAATTCCTAAAATATATTGATAGTTTTCAGGATATAAGTGAATAGTGAAGCCAGAGGTGCTGGCAGACATCTGTACTACCAGCTACTTAGGAGGACTGAGGCAGAAAGATGGTATGTTCAAGGACAGACTAGGCATCTTAGCCAGACACTGTCTAAAAAACAAAATAAAGGGCCGGGGGTTTGACTCAGTGGTTCCGCTGCCTGCCTTGCAAGCGCAGGGTCTTGAGTTTGATCCCTGGTACCAAAGAAACCAAAAAACAAAATAAAAGGCCAGGGATTTAACTAAGTAGTACCACGCCTGCCTTGCAAGCATAAGGTCCTGCATTTGATCCCCAGTACCAAAACAATAAATAAAATTTTAAAAAATTTAAAAGGGGCTGAGGATGATAGAGCTCAACCACAGAACACTTGCTTAACATGTGTGAGACACAGTACTGATGATCGAATTCAAATTCTCCACCTGGAAAATCCGTAACAAAATACTGTAACTTAAAAATGACCCTAGTCAGGCCAGGGATTTAGCTCAATGGTTCCACCGCCTGCCTTGCAAGCGCAAGGACCCGAGTTCAATCCCCGGTACCAAAAAAAAAAAAAAAAAAA